AAAAAAAAAGCTGAAAGCAGGGCTGTGGCTCAAGTGGTAGAGCACTAGCCTTGAACACAAAGAGGCTCAGGGACAGTGCCCAGGCCCTGAGTTCAGGACTGGCAAAAAAAACCAAAAAACAAATACCCACTACAAACTCCCCCTACCAAAAACACAAATACCCTCCCTCCTTAGGAATTCTGAGCCAATCTCAGCCTCCCTAGGTAAATAGCTCTCATTAAGACTTTTTAAAATTGTTATTGTAAAGTTGAGAAGGGTTACAGTTACATAAGTCAGGTAATGAGTACATTTCTTTTTGAACAGTACTACCTCTTCCCTTGCTCTGTTTTCTTCCATCAATCTAGATGTCTGGAACCACTCAAGGTGGACCATGGTTTCCAACTTGCCAGACAGTATAATTTGTGCCTACAAGTGAAAAGGAATCCAGAGAGAATTTTCAGCCAAATGGGAAATCTACAGGCATTTCCTTGGAATAACCTTCGGCAAATGACTTCACTTTTCTAGGGCAGGTTTTTATCACCGGTCAAAATGAAGAGACTAATTTGCATGGTACCTAAAGTTCTTCAGCTTTGAATTTCAATAATGTTGAGCATATAGTTTGAGTGTTTATCTCATCCTTGCTCAGCACTGGACAGAGGCCATTAAAATTACAGATATTCAGTATATTGATTGTAAAGGAATCTTTTTTTTTTTTGGCCAGTCTGGGGCCTGAACGCAGCCTGGGTGCTGTCCCTCAGCTCTTCAGCTCACGGCTAGCACTCTACCACTTGAGCCACAGCTCCACTTCTGGCTTTTTCTGATTATGTGGTGCTGAGGAATTGAACCCAGGGCCTCCTGTATGCAAGGCAAGCACTCTACCACTAAGCCACCTTCCCAGCTAAGCAAATCTTTTCTAAAAAGGATTCCAATGTATACTAAGAAATGATTTGGGGCAGGAGGTGTGGTTCAAGTGATACAGTGCTTCCTAGTAAGCACAGGGCCCTGGGTTTAAACACCAGTACCACAAACACAAAAAGAAATTATTTGTAGTTGTAATGCCTCCAACAGCATTTTACATCTTCTTCAGAAATCTTGCCTACAGAACAGCCTTTTTGATTGATTTGACTTAACATTAAACCTGCCTATCACAGATTATACCCATTCAAATTTTAAATTTATCTCCAGGCACTGATGACTCATATCTGCAATCCTCCCAACTCTGGAGGCTGGGATCTGAGGTTCAAAGACATTCATGCAGATAAATGAGAGACTTTTTTTTTTGTTGGTCCTGAGGCAAGAACTCTGGGCCTGGGTACTGGCCCTGAACTCTTTTACGCAAGGCTAGTGCTCTACCACTTTGACCCACACCACCACTTCTGGTGGTTAAAAGGAGATAAGAGTCGCATGGGGACTTTTCTGTCTGGGATGGCTTTGAACTGTGATTCTCAGATCTCAACTTCTTGAGTAGCTAGGATTACAGGCTTGAACCATCAGCACCTGGCCAATGAGAGACTCACCTCCAATTAAATGTCAAAAAGGCAGAAGTGGAGCTGTGGCTCAAGTGGCAGAGTGCTAGCCTTGAGCAAAAAGGCTCAATGTGGGCTGGGAAGGTGGCTCAGTGGTAGAGTACTTGCCATGCATGCATGAGGTCTTGGGTTCAATTCCTCAGCACCACATAAGCAGAAAAGGCCGGAAGTAGCACTGTGGCTCAAGTGCTAGAGCGCTAGCCTTGAGCTGAAGAGCTGAAGGACAGTGCCCAGGCCGAGTTCAGGCCCCACAACTGACAAAAAAAAAAAAAAAAAGGCTCAATGTGCGTGCGCGCGTGTGCTGATCCTGGAGCTTGAACTCAGGGCCTGGGTGCTGACTCTTGAGATTTTGTTCTCAAGGTTAACACACTACCACTTGAGATATAGCATCATGAGGTTAAAGGTGTGGCTCAACTGGTAAAGTGCTTGACTAGGATCCTAGCATAAGGCCCTGAGTTCAAACCCCAGTACCACCAAAAAGAAAAAACGGCTTTAATTTTGGGCTGGGAATGTGACTTAGTGGTAGAGTGCTTGCCTAGCATGCATGAAGCCCTGGGTTTGATTCCTCAGTACCACATACTCAGAAAAATCCAGAAGTGGTGCTGTGGCTCAAGTGATAACAGCATTAGCCTTGAGCTGAAGAGCTCAGGGACAGTGCACAGAATTCAAGCCCCATGACCTACAACAAAAAGCACTGTCATTAGGACTGTAAGGCATTTGATGTTGCTATAATTTCTTAGAGTGCACTGGCATGGTGTCTTAAACTCAGGGCTTTGTGCACTCACTTAGCTCTTTCTCTTCTTCCTTTCTTCCCTCTCTTCTTTTTTGTTTCTTTCATGATAGTCCTGGGGCTTGAAATAAGGGCCTGGGCACTGTACCTGAGTAGTTTTTGCTCATGGCTAGCACTCTACCACTTGAGCCATAGTTTTACTTCTAGCTTTTTTGGTGGTTAATTGGGAGATAAGAGTCTCATGGGGATTTTTTTCCTGCCTGGGCTGGCTTCAAAGCATAATCTTCAGATCTCAGGCTTCAGAGTAGCTAAGATTATAGGTGTGAGCCAGCAGTACCTGGTTTTCCTTTAGTATTTTTTTGTCGGTCATGGGGCTTGAACTCTAGGCCTGGGAACTGTCCCTTAGCTCTTCAGCTCAGTGTGAGCGCTCTACCATGGAAGACAGCACCACTTCTGGTTTTCTGGTTGTTGATTGGAGATGAGTCTCACGGACTTTCCTGCCCAGGCTGGCTTTGAACTGTGATCCTCAGATCCCAGCCTCTTGAGTAGCTAGGATTACAGGTGTAAGCCACCAGCACCCAGCTGTCCTTTAGTATTTAAAAGATCTCTCATTAGACACATAATCAAAAACTCCAAATTTAAGCAGGGCATGGTGTCAGATATCTAGAAATCCTACCACTCAGGAGGCTGAGGCAGGAAGATTATGATTTCAAGGCCAACCTGGAGTATATAGTGTTTGAGGCCTGCCTGGACTAAACATTAAGTCCCAATCTCAAACAAAACAAAAGAACAGATGGGCAGTGGTGGCTCACACCTGTAATCCTAGCTACTCAGGAGGCTAAGATCTGAGGAACATGGTTTGAAGCCAGACAGTCTGGGCAGGAAATATCCCCATGAGACACTTCTCTCCAATTAACCACCAGAAACTGAAAGTAGAACAGTGGCTCAAAGTGGTAGAGCACTAGCCTTGAGCAAAAAGAACTCCAGGATAGTGCCCAGACCCTGAGTTTAAGCCCCATGACCAGAAAAACAACAACAAAACAAACCCCAAACCAAGACAGACAAATAAACAGAAAACTGTCAGAAATTAGGTTGTAAAGTTTATTGACAGAGTCAAAAAGAACACAGCCAGACATTTGGTTATCTTTGCCACTATAATGTATCATTACTAGAAAAAGGAAATTAAGAATCTACTTAAGGCACTTCAGATAAAAGCCAATTTTCAATTTTCCACAAAAGTAACACCTTTTTTTAAGTGTAGTTCATCTGCTTTTGTACAGACTCATCCAAAATGCTGCCCTTCTCCTTACAGAAGAAAATGTGCTCTTTGAAGGGGAGACAAAACAAACACAGAAACCCTGTCATTCATTCAGTAACCATGGCAAATAGCTGAGCTATACAGACTGCAAGGTAGTAATGTTCCTTGGGACCCAACAATCAGGGCATCTTAATACAGGTCTCATAATAATAACAGCACAAATAAATATAGCCTGAGACAAGTACGAGAATCGCACATGAGAAATTGAGAACCACCTCATTACAGGAGAATAACTGACAAAGGTGGAAGATGGCTCTATTTAAGAGCAAAAGGCCAACTGTATCCCCCACTTTCCACCAAATCGACTACAGAATCCCACATATAGTTATCTCCACTCCATCCACAAAGCTCTCTTGCATAAGACACTCCTACCATATGAGGATTGTTTAATGGTAAATAGCAAGAGACAGTCACAGTATGTGTTTCTTATGTTTTTGTGCAGGTTCTGGAACTTGAACCCGAGTCTGGTTGCTATCCCTGAGCTTTTTGTGCTCAAGGCAAGTGCTCTACCACTTCAGGCTCCACTTTCGGCTTTTTGGTGGTTATTTAAAGGTAAAAGGCTGATTGACTTTCCTGTCTTTGCTTCAAACAGCAATTCTCAGATCTGTTTCCTGAGAAGCTAGAATTATAGGCATGAGCTACAGGTGTCTGGCTCACAGTATGTTTTTAATGTAATACCTTTAAGATTATTTTTTCACAATTATAATTCTCATACTTTTTCTTTTTGAGGTGTTGGGGATTAAACCCAGGGCCTCACTCATACTAGGCAAGCCCTCTACCATGAGCTACACATCAGCCCTCCCACTTTCCCAACAGTGGCATTTCAGGTTACTCTTCATAACTATGTGGGAGGCTCTAATTACATGAATAATGAAACCATGGATGGATATTCCACACAGAATTGTATGTGTGTGTGTACATTTTTTTCCTTGTCAGTCATGGGGCTTGAACTCTGGGCCTGGGCACTGTCCCTCAGCAATTCAGCTCAAAGCTAGTGCTCTACTACTTGAGCCACAGCACCACTTCTGGTTTTCTGGTGGTTTATTAGAGATAAGAGTCTCACGGACTTTCCTCCCTGGGCTGGCTTTGAATCGTGATCCTCAGATCTCAGCCTCCTGAGTTGCTAGATTACAGGCATGAGCCACCAGCTCCCGGCTGTGTGTACATGTTTTTGGTGCTGGTACTGGAGCTTGAACTCACAGCCTGGATGCTGTTCCTTAGCTTCTGTGCTCAAGGCTAGCACTTGAACCAAACTCTACTTCCAGCTTTTTGCTGGTTAATTCAAGATAAGTGTCTCATGGAGTTTTCTGCCCAGGTTGGCTTTGAACCTTGATCTCTGCCTTGAGAATAAGCCACAGGTGCCTGGCTCTACACAGAAATTTGATTTGAATGGTTATTTCCACTGTCAGAAAAAAACACAAAACTGAAACATAATTTCCTTCATATTTTTGCTTTCTCTGCATGATTTTTTTCCTTTCTGAGATGGGGTCTTACTATGTTTCTAGGCTTGGCTCAAATTCCTGGACTCAAGGAAATGCTCTCTTCCCTCAGTCACCCAAGTAGCTGGGACAGGAAAGGACACTGTGCAGGCTTTATCTATAACTTTAGATGGAGAATAAAGCCTAAAATGATAGCAAAACCCAGAAAAGCTTTCAATAAACATCCCACCTCTATATACAGCCAATACTCAGTGTTTCATGATTTTCTTTTCTTTTTTCTTATATTTTGTTAGGTAAAAATAAAATAAGTGACAATCTCTACCTTTCACAGACATTTGAGAGACCATTTGTAAGTGATGGTGATATTAAGCATTAAACTACATTATTAGTAGAGATGGCAACTTTAAATAAAAGGAAACTAAGGCGATAGAGTGAATGTGAAATATTTTCAAAGACAAGGAGTTAACATGGCAGTCATGCAGAATCCTAATGGTCTACTGAGATACTGCTTTGGGTCTGCAGGTGTGAAGAAACATAGACAGCTAGCTGTATTTTAGTAGAAAACATGCATAAGGGTAGCTAACTAATCTTAATAAAGACAAGACCTGTACTCTGAAGAATGTTTCATTTTCCGAAGACCACCGAATACATGTAGTTTCTTGGCTCCAAAGGAAAGATTTGTCATGTTTGCACACAGATGCAAAGATGGAAAACTAACCAGCAGATTCCTGTGCAGTTATCTCTAACACAATCTGCATGAAGACTGGGTAAGAACTGTCATTTCTCACCTTTGATAGGAGGAAAGCAGATGAGCAAAAGCTCACTCAAGTCATTTTGAGCTTTGTTCTAATTACAATGAAGTAGTAACTTCAAAACTGTATAATGTATTTAATTCTACAAAAGAAAATGTTCCCCAAGTTCACTGGGAAGGGAAGGTTAAGAAGAGAATCATTTCAAATACTTCATGATTTTGACCAAAAAAAGTTGCTTGTTAAGGCACTACACATCTTCTTTGGTTAAATGATTTAACTATTGAAATCACTGAAAAAAAGAGGTAATACAAAACACACAGGTTGCATTCTTCTTCCAAACATACGGTTCTTGTTCAGTTTCCATTAGCACAGTGTCTATGTGGCTCTAAGATCCTTTTAACTCATCAGAAAGCTGAAACAAAAGTATTTATCAAATTATTAGTCTCTGAAGGAAAAGAAATATACCTCTAGTAAATAAGTAGTGTGCTGATTTGAACAGACTAATGTATATCAGACAATCTGTTACACATATATCAGACAATTTGAGTATAAATGACAAAGTGAGAAACATTAAGAGATAAGCTAGTATTAGACAGAAAGAAACTACACATAACCTCAAGTTAAAATGTCTCTTGAATAGAAATACTGATTCATAACTGAATCAACCCTAGTGATCTAATAATTAAATAATTCAATTAATTCTGTTAGAAGGCTCATCTCTAGCGTCTGGCTTAAATTTCTTTCTTTCTCTTGGTTGGTTGTGGGGCTTGAACTCAGGGCCTGGTGCTGTCCCTGAGCTCTCCAGCTCAAAGCCTAGCGCTCTGCCACTTGAGCCAGTGTCACTTGCAGTTTTCTGGGGATTAACTGGAGATAGAGTCTCACGGACTTTCCTGCCCAGGCTGGCTTCAAATTGCAATACTCAGATCTCAGCCTCCTGAGTAGCTGGGATTACATGCATGACCAAATGGCATTGGCTGAGATTTCTTTATTTTTGAAATTTGTATTTTAAAATGAGTAAGTTCATCGAGTGCCATTGACTCATGCCTATAGTACTAGCTACACAGGAGGCTGAGATCTAAGGATTGTTTCCAAGCCAGCCCAGGCAAAAAAGCCCATGAGACACTCATCTCCTAACCATTAAAAATGCTAGAAGTAGAGCTGTGGTTCCAGTGGTAGAGTGTTAGTAGCCTTGAATAAAAGAAGCTCAGGGACAGTGCCCAGGCCCTGAGTTTAACCCCAGGACTGGCAAAAAAAAAAAGAAAGAAAAAAGAAATGCAAATCAAAACAACATTGATATTCCAACTCATCCCAGTTAGCATGGCCATTATCAAGAAAACTAATAACAGATGCTGGAGGGAATGTGGCAAAAAGGGAATGCTACTACACTGTTAGTGGGAATGTAAACTTGTTCAACCACTCTGGAAAGCAGTATGGAGGTTCCTAAAAAGTCTAAACATAGAGCTTCCCTATGACCCAGCAGTCCCACTCCTGGACATTTACCCAAATGACTACAAACCAGCCTGCACTGATGCCACCAGCACAACCATATTCAATGCAGCATTATATATAACATAGCTAAGATATGGAATCAACCTAGATGCCCCCCAGTGGATGAATGGATCAAGAAATGTGATATATATATATATAGATAGATATAGATATAGCTAGATATAATATGCTTCCACCAGAAAGAATGATGTTGCCCCATTCGTAAGAAAATGGAAAGATCTGGAAAAATTTACATTAAGCGAAGTAAGCTAGACCCAAAGAAACATAGGTTACATCGTTTCCCTCATTTGTCATAACTAGAATACATCTATAAATTTACAAGTTAATCCAATGGATAGGAGACAAATAATTACACTTGGACATGATTAATTAAACAGCACTCTAAGCATCACACAGTGAGAAGAAAAGAGGATATTCTTTTTTTACTTTTTATTTTTTAATTTTTTTTGTCAGTCATGGGTCTTGAACTCCGGGCCTGGGTGCTGTCCCTCAGCTCTTCAGCTCAAGGTGAGCGCTCTACCACTTGAGCCACAGTGCCACTTCTGGTTTTCTGGTGGTTTATTGGAGATAAAGAGTCTCATGGACTTTCCTGCCTGGGCTGGCTCTGAGCAGAGATCCTAAGATCTCAGCCTCCTAAGTAGCTAGGATTACAGGCATGAGCCACAGGCGCCTAGCTTCTTTTTTATTTTTTGGCAGAGCCTGGGCTTGAACTCTGGCTGTGGACTTTGTCCCTGAGCTCCTTTTTGCTCAAGGCTACTGCTCTTCCACTAGAGCCACAGGGCCACTTGCTGCTTTTAATGAGTAGTTTATTGAATACTCTTATCTCCAATTAACCACCAGAAAACCAGAGTGACACAGTGGCTTAAAAGACTAGAGCACTAAGCCTTGAGCTGACGAGCTCAGGAACAGGGCCTAGGCCCTGGGTTCAAGCCCCATGACTGACAAAAAAAAAAAAGCTAAGAGATAGTGTACCCAGGCCCTGAATTCAAGCCTCATTACTAGCACGCGTGCGCGCACATGCACATGCACACGCGCGCACGCACACAATTCCTTAGCCAGGTGCTAGTGGCTCACACTTACTAATCCTAGCTACTCAGGAAGCTCAGTTCTGAGGATTGTGGTTCAAAGCCAGCTGGGACAGGAAAGACTATAAGAGTCTCATAGATCCAGAAATGGAGCTGTGGCTCAAGTGGTAGAGCACCAGGCTTGAGCACAAAAACAGGAGAATACCCAGGCCCTGTGTCTAACACCCAGAACTGATACACACAAAAAAATATTCCTTCTTCAAGGAGATATATAGTACACAGAAAAAAAACTGTGTAGGATATGGTATAATATGTTCTAATCACTATGGTACAGATTTGTAGATTGAAATAGGTTACATCAGAATAAATTTACAAATAAACATATTGTCCTCAGACAATATATATACCAATGGCCGATCATACTCTAAATGATTTAAAAATGTTATAGCTGACATATCTAAATTAAATTTTTTTCTGTAGAAGCCATAACTGCTTGATAGCAAAGCAAGAAAAGAAATACTATAAAGCTATATGAAATCTAATCACTGTATTTATAGGTAATCATTATGTAAATGGAAATAAGAATAATACCTGTATGGATAGCCATGATACTTAGATCTGAAAATAGACAGCATCCAACTGAAGAATAGCACAACAAGTCCAATGCCAGCTAAGCACATTACTGCAGAAAAGCAGAAAGACGGCAAAATGAGCAGTTGGAATAAACAACCAGGGCAAAAATATTAGTTTATACTTGTAAAGAGTAAAAGGGTTGCAATGTATTGATAACTTCCCAAAAGCTTTGCCCATTTAATATTCTAGAAAGTGTTTTTCCTTTAAATCAGCCCCATTACAACATAACAGCAACTCCATTTATATCCTTGAGTAATTCACCACCAGGAAATAATGTATTCCTTAAAAAGGATCACACCCAAGAATTTATTGTTAAAAATTATGGCTCCATGCCTATAATCCTCGCTACTCAGGAGGCTGAGATCTGAGTATTTTTTTTTAAGATTTTTAAAGCATTTTAAGGTATAAAGCCAGCCAGAGACTTTTTTTTTCTGGTCAGTCATGGGGCCTGAACTCTGGGCCTGGGCGCTGTCCCTCAGCTTTTCAGCTGTAGTCTAGCACTCTACCACTTGAGCCTCAGCCCCACTTCCAGCTTTTTCTGCTTATGTGGTGCTGAGGAATCAAACTGAGGGCCTCATGCATGCAAGGCAAGCACTCTACCACTGAGCCACCTTCCCAGTCCCCCCCCCCTTTTTTTTGCCAGTCCTCGGGCTTGAATTCAGGGCCTGGACACTGTCCCTGAGCTTCTTTTACTCAAGGCTAGCACTCTACCACTTGAGCCACAGAACCACTTCTGGCTTTTTCTGTTTATATGGTACTAAGGAATCGAAACCAGGGCTACATGCATTCTAAGCAAGTACTCTACCACTAAGCCACCTAGCCCTCGTGAGACTCTTTCCTTCCAATTAACCACCAAAAAGCCAGATGTGGAGCTGGCTGAAGTGATAGAGCTCTAGCCTTGAGCAAAAATTCTCAGAGACAGTGCCCAGGACCTGAGTTCAAACCCCAAGACTGGCACAAAACAAAACACCCAAAAACTGTCTTATTAACAAAATCACCAGTTCCCAAACTTCATTTAAGATCTTAACAGTTGTCTTAGAAGGATGGGTACAGTAGCTCAGGTCTATAATTCCAGCTACTAACAAGAGTGAAATAGCATGCTTATTCTATAACTAAGGGGGAAAATGGGCAGCTATTACTTTTTTTTCCTGTAGTAAAGGCAGAACTGTTTTCATTGTTTACTATTATCATCATCATTATGTTATCATAAGGTAATGACTTACACTTTCTCTTCCCAATATCCATGTCAGAGGTAGCAGCTTCACATAAAAGCACCATCCCTAAAGTAACCCCACCATCTTGGAAAACATGTTTAAGGAGAAATTCACATAGACACAAAGCATACACCAACTTTAGTATTCCATTTCTCCTGAAGATAATTTAAATGAATTAATACTAGTCTTCAACACTTAGCTTCAAGAAAATTAACCCGGACTGGGAAGGTAGCTCAGTGGTAGAGCGCTTGCCTTGCATGCATGAGGCCCTGGGTTTTATTCCTCAGCACCACATAAGCAGAAAAAGCTGAAAGTGGCACTGTGGCTCAAGTGGTAGAGCACTGGCCTTGAGCTGAAGAGCTGAGGACAGTGCCCAGGCCCAGAGCTCAGGCCCCACAACCAGCAAAAAAAAAAAAGAAAGAAAGAAAGAAAGAAAACTAACCCGTACTAGTAATCTATACAGTTTGGAAATTATGTAGTACAAATACATAAAAATTGGGCTGGGAAGGTGGCTCAGTGGTAGAGCATTTGCCTTGCACGCATGAGGCCCTGGGTTCAATTCCTCAGCACCACATAAGCAAAAAGAAAAAAAAGCCAGTAGTGGCGCTGTGGCTCAAGTGGTAGAGTGCTAGCCTTGAGCTGAAGAGCTAAGGGACAGGGCCCAGGCCCAGAGTTCAGGCACCACAACCGGACCCAAAAAAAAATACATAAAAATTAAGACTAGAAGATGACTTCATTTGGACAAAGGAGAACTGATACTTTAGTCTGACATCTCACCATAGGTTGACAGATAAAAGACAAGGATTTTGGTAATCAGAATTTGAAATCACATTCAATTGTTGCCCTAACCTCATACACATTAAATAGCCATTTTCAGCATTTTAACCCCCTCCCAAAAGTACACTGGAAAAAGAAACACCAATTAGAATAACTCACTTGTATTAGGAAAGAAATGTCTCAAATTTTTCTCCACAATTGTAACAACTAACTTTTCAAGCACAAATTACTACTAAGCTACTTAATTTTGCCTTATTCTAACACCAAAAAAACCCTTACTTTTATTGAGCTTAGTAATGGGAGCTTTGTGAAAATAGAATGCAGCTACCTATTTGCATGGTTGGATGTTAAAAATAAGGAGCATCAAGTTCCAAATAAATACATTATTTTCTAGCAGAAATAAGAAATTCACCCTGCAATTTAGCAACACGAACAGCAGCAAAAACATCCTCAAATTAATTATGCATACATGCATGCGCCCTGTGTACCACAGCATGCGGGTAGTATAATTAAGAGAAAGACAAAACTAGGTGTTCAGAAGAAGCCCTGAATACATAATTTGCTCTACAACCTCATGATTCATCCTGGTTGTTACCATGTTCCACTCTCTTCAATAGGCTCTTGTTAGGAATGAGGCCTATTCAGCATGGCTTTTCAGTTGCTCAGCCAAGTCTTTTCTCCAGCGATTTTCTTTTCCTTACTGAGGTTCTTTGTGTCCTGATTAGAGCAAAGGTGGATCATTTCTGCCGGTTTTCTTTACCAGGATCTCAGATTCATGATTAAGACTTCTATTTTGGAAACTGCTTGTCTTCGGATCATGGACTATATGCATGTATTTTTGTTGGTATATTTGTTTCTGCCAGTACCGGGGCTTGAACTCAGGGCCTCGTGATCTTGCTCATATCTGGTACTCTACCACTTGAGCTGTGCCTCCAGCTGCTATATTGGAGACAGAGTTTCATGTACTTTTCTGCTCAGACTGGCTTTCAACTGCATTCCTCTAGGTTTTAGCCTCTTGAGCTAGGATTACAAGCTTGAGCCACTAGTGCCTGGTAACACCTGCATTGTTAATTAACTATTGCTTTCTTACTATGCAGTAAAGAAAACTGTTCTCTAAAATCATAAATCGTTTGAAATTACATCAGTAAGCACAAAACATTCTACCTTTCTGCATTTTTATTTTCCTGGAGGATTTAAGCCCCTCAATTTACAAGTGTAATTTCTGTGTGTGGGGGGGGTGTGTTGGTTGTGGGGCTTACACTCAGGGCCTGAGCACTGTCCCTGAGCCTCATTGTGTTCAAGGCTAGCACTCTACTACTTGAGCCACAGTGCCATTTCCAGTTTTTGAGTGATTAATTGAGCCTCACTTTTCTGCCCAGGCTAGCTTTCAACAGCGATCCTCTGATCTCAGATTCCTGAGTAGCTAGGATTACAGGAATGAGCCACTGGCACCCGGCTACAAGCGTAATTTCTAAGGAGCCTAAATTACAAACAACACAAATCTCAAACTTTATTAAGACAAAATCTAAATTATCTTAAGTTTTTCATTTGCTAAGGACCTTTGGGTCCACTTATAATGGTCTAGATCAGAATTTTTTTTTTGTCAGTCATGGGGCCTGAACTCTGTCCCTCAGCTCTTCAGCTCAAGGCTAGCGCTCTACCACTTGATCCAAAGCACCACTTACGGCTTTTTCTGCTAATGTGGTGCTGAGGAATCGAACCCAGAGCCTCTTATATGCAAGGCAAGCGCTCTACCACTGAGCCACCTTCCCAGCCCTAAGAAATTTTATGTTACTTTATTTTATACCAAGCTCTATCTCCAGCCCCTGAAGCACTGTTTTAGTAGCTTAAACACGATACTAGGGCCTAAGGATGAAGTGGTAGGACACTCATATACAATACTCTGGATTTGATCTGTAGCACTGCAAAGAACAAACATAATAGAAAGAACAAAAGAAGCCAGGCATAGTGGTGCAGGTCCATAATTCCAGCATTCTGGAGGTAAGGCTGAAACAGTAAGATTATGAGGGGCTGGGAAGGTGGCTCAGTGGTAGAACGCTTGCCTTGCATGCCTGAGGCCCTGGGTTCGATTCCCAGCACCACATAAGCAAAAAGAAAAAAGCCAGAAGTGGCGCTGTGGCTCAAGTGGTAGAGCGCTAGCCTTAAGCTGAAGAGCTGAGGGACAGCGCCCAGGCCCAGAGTTCAGGCCCCATGACCGGACCCAAAAAAAAAAAAAACAAAACAGTAAGATTATGAGCTCCAGCTCATCCCGGGCTATATACAACTTTGTTTAAAAAGCAAAACTCCCAGCCAGGCACCAGTGGCTCATGCTATGCTGGAGGCTGAGATCTGAGAATCATGGTTCAAAGCCAGCCAGGGGGCCGGGCGCCAGTGGCTCACGCCTGTGATCCTAGCTGCTCAGGAGACTGAGATCTAAGGATCGCGGTTCAAAGGCAGCTCAGGCAGTAAAGTCTGTGAGACTCATCTCCAATAAACCACTAGAAAACCAGAAGTGGCGTTGTGGCTCAAGCGGTAGAGCACTCGCTTTGAGCTGAAGAGCACAAGGACAGTGCCCAGGCCCAGAGTTCAAGCCCCTTGACCGACAAAAAAAAATTTAAAAAAGCCAGCCAGGGCAGGAAAGTCCGTTAAGACTCTCATCTCCAATAAACCACCAGAAACCACCAGAAAACTGGAAGTGGATCTATGGCTTAAGTGGTAGAGCACTTATCTCGAGCTGAAGAGCTGAGGAACAGCACCCAGGCCCAGAGTTCAAGCCCCATGACTGACACAAAAAAGCAAACATCCCAAACAAAAACCACACAACAAAAATCCCCAAAAACTAACCTTCATTTATATTTTACCTCACCTCCACTCTTTTTCCAAATCCTTACCACCAGGCTTATCTTTTCTTCATACGACATAAAGGGCTAGGAATGTGGCTTAGTGGTAGAGTGCTTGCTTAGTATGCAGGAAGCCCTGAGTTCGATTCCTCAGTACCACATAAGCAGAAAAGCCAGAAGTGGCACTGTGGCTCAAGTGGTAGAGTGCTAGCTTTGAGCAAAAGAAGCTCAGGGACAGTGCCCAGGCCCTGAGTGCAAAACCCAAGACTGGGGAAAAAAAAAAGAAGATATCGATACTTCTGATGTGTAATAATGAAGTGACAAACCTACGTTTATCAAACTTTAGGTTTGTCCTTGGTGATCTTTAGCTTAGTGGGCTAAGATGGAGGACCCAAGAACCATGATTTCCAAAGGATATTATGGATTTGCATTAGGAAAGCAGTACCAACCAAATGCTGTGCAGTGGATACTACCTTGTGAGAAAAATAGGTGTTAAAATGGACCTACAAAGACTTCGTATAAAAGGATACTGAAGAGAAGAACAATGTGTGTTTCAGCTACAAATTGGGCTTGGCTGCTTCCATGGATATAATTCTGGGGAGAGAAGACAAAATGAAACCTTTAAATATACATTAAATTCCAATCTTCTGCTGATCATGGTGGCACAGGCCAGTAATCAACCAAGGAAGATGAGGCAGGAGGATCACAAGTTCAAGACCAGCTTGGGCTATACTTAAAAACCATTCTGGCCAGGTTCCAGTAGCTCATGCCTGTAATCCTAGCTACTCAGGAGGCTGAGATTTGAGGATCGTAGTTCAAAGCCAGCAGGGGCAGGAAAGGCCATGAGACTCTTATCTCCAATAAAAACCACCAGAAAATCGGAAGTGGTGTTGTGGCTCAAGTTGTAGAGTGCTAGCCTTGAGCTCAAGGACAGTGCCCAGGCCCAGAGTTCAAGCCCCATGATCAACATAACATAACAAACAAAACTCCTCTATAGATCCTTTCTATGGTGGCACTGGGTCCTATAGAGCAATTTTTTTTTTTTTTGGGGTCCGGTCGTGGGGCTTGAACTCTGGGTCTGGGTGCTGTCCCTCAGCTCTTCAGCTCAAGGCTAGCACTCTACCACTTGAGCCACAGCGCCACTTCTGGCTTTTTTTTCTTTTTGCTTATGTGGTGTTGAGGAATCGAACCCAGCACCTCATGCATGCAAGGCAAGAGCTCTACCACTGAGCCACCTTCCCAGCCTCCTAGGGCAATATTCTTTAGGTTAATTTTGGTACATCCTGAAAAACAATCCCAGATTTCCTTACCACATGTCCTGTATGGGGATTCTTATGAGCATATGGCGGTCCTCTAATATGATTCCACATCTGACCAGATGTCATGGCAAGCACAAAACACTAGAAAACAAAAACCAAATATTCATGGTCCTTCAGGCCCTGTCTCCATTATATTAACAGATATATAGAAAGGTGTGACTGTTTAGGTAACTTTTTCAGATTAATGATGATCATAATTTAGCAATACTTCAAAAAAGGGTAAACACTATTTTAAAAAAGTAGTATAACTAAGCTGACAAGTTTTAAAATTAAATACTGAAAAGCACTGCATTTTGGTACTAGGGCTTGAACTAAGGGTAAGGGCATTGTCCGTGAGATTTTGTGCTCAAGGCTAATGCTCTTAACCACCTGAGGCACAGCTCACTTCCGGGTTTTGGGTTTTTGGTGGTTAAATGGAGATAAGAGTCTCACAAATTTTCCTGCCCAAGTTGGCTTTTCACTAGGATACTCAGATCTCAGCCACCTGAGTAGCTAAGATCACAGGCGTGCACTATGTTGAAAATGAATTATACAACTTGTGGGTGGGGAGGGGAGGCAAATAGTGGGAGGGAGCTAGGAAAGGGGTGACAATGTCCAATCAGGAAAGTCTATGAGAATCTTATCTCCAATTGAACACACACACACACACACACACAAGCCAGATGTGGAGCTGTGTCTTAAGTGGTAGGGTGCCAGCCTTGATCAAAGAAAGGAACAGCACTCAGGTCCTGAGTTCAGGCCCCTGACTGGTATGCACACTCACGCGCACTTGTGTGCGTGCTCGCATGCTCGCGTGCTCTCTCTCTCTCCCCTTCTCCCTTCCTCCCCCCCCCCCCCCACGGACACATGTACACACGTGCGAGCACACTCAGAGCAGATATTATCAGTTCTGGGAAGCTTTGGTTATCCTAATGAGATAGTGGAGGAAATGAACTGACAATAAGGTAGAAAAATATGCCAAAATCCATTCCCTCAGATTAGAAATAAAATGCTATTCCTCATGCAAATGAAAATTTACCTAAAAACAAACAAAAAAGCCGGAAGTGGCGCTGTGGCTCAAGTGGTAGAGTGCTAGCCTTGAGCTGAAGAGCTGAGGGACAGCGCCCAGGCCCAGAGTTCAGGCCCACGACCGGACACCCACCCCCCAAAAAAAATTACCTAAAAACACAGCATCAGTTTGGTCGTGGGGCTTGAACCCTGGGCTTGGGCGCTGTCCTGCACTCTTCAGCTCAAGGCGAACGCTCTACCACTTGACCCACAGTGCCACTTCCGGTTTTCTAGTGGTTTATTGGAGATAAGAGTCTCATGGACTTTCTTGCCTGGGCTGACTTTGAACCATGATCCTCAGATCTCAGCCTCCTCAGTAGCTAGGATTACAGGCGTGAGCCACCAGCGTCCGGCTCACAGGATCAGGATCGGCTCTATGCAATTAATTTTTCTTCTAAAATTCACTCACCAAAGCTGCAAAGGCCCATCCAGTTTTATTAAAGAGAAATTCCATATTGCTTCTTCGAAGATACACAAGGCCACCAATAACAGCCAAAAGCAATCCCAACATAAGAGGTCCAGCGTAATTGGGAGGTCTAATTACTCTAATCTAATAGAAAGGAGAGAAAATATTTTAAAGTATAAAATTTATTTCCTAAATAAATAATAAGGAAATAGAAAGCAATCATAAGGGAATGAAAGCAAGCAGAGTTCTTTTCAGGAAAAATACATTTTTTTTCCCCAACCTTATTCCAATCCAAGCAGTCTATATCCTAAAATGGGAAGAAATACATCTAATATTCAGGTGACTCAAATTCTAACAACTTTTAGATAAAGAAGGGTTTTCCAAAGACAGGTAGACTTCAGTTGAGGAGAGTAGTTTCCAGGCTGGGCTCAATAGGGCAGCCCAGGATGCTTTGTAATCTCCCTCCATCAGGAGAAATCTGTTAACTGCCAAACTACTACTACCTGAGTGATTTGAGACAAGTCCAATTATGGCCTCCCAGAATGGTTCAAGGAGGGCAATGGAAATAACTTCTACAAAGTAGGGAGACTTACGTTGACATCAGTTCTGTCTGCAATCCACCGGGCAATCTGCTCAGCCGAAAACCCTCGCACCTGCAACTCATAGGTATCACCACGTTTGGGTTTTCCTTTTGCAGGAAAGTTGATGAACGTTGGAGCTGAATTCATATTTAGCTGAATAAAGCATAACCCATGGAAATATTATCAGGAAAATAATCTTTTTTTTTTTTTTACTGGTCTTGGGGATTGAACTCAGGAGCTCAGGTACTAATACTAGCATTCTACCACTTGAGCCACCGCCCCATTTCTGGCTCTTTCTGATTTATGGGATACAAGAGTTTCATGAACTTTCCTGCTCAGGCTGACATGAGCCACATACCCAAAAAACCTTTTTTTGGGCCAGTCCTGGGGCCTGAACTCAGGGCCAGGGCACTGTCCCTGAGTTTCTTTAGCTCAAGGCTAGCACTCCACCATTGAGCCACAGAGCCACTTCCAGTGTTTTCTGTTTATGAGGTACTGAGGAATCGGACCCAGGGCTTCACGCATGCTAGGCAAGCACTCTACCACTAAGCCACATTCCCATCCCTCAGTTAATCTTTTCTTTTTTTTGGTCCCAACCTGGGGTTTGAACTCAAAGCCTTGGTGCTGTATCTGAGCCTTTGTGCTCAAGGCTAGTGCTCTATTATCTAAGCCACAGCTCCACTTCTGGCTTTTTGGTGGTTTATTGGAGATAGTTTTACAGACTTTCCTGCCTGGGCTGGTTTTAAACTATGATCTTCAGATCTTAACCTCCTGAGTAGTTAGGATTACATGGATGAGCTACTGGTACCTGGCAAGAAAATAATCTTAATGGGGGGCTGGGAAGGTGGCTCAGTAGTAGAGCGCTTGCCTTGTATGCATGAGGCCCTGGGTTCGATTCCTTAGCACCACATAAGCAAAAAGAAAAAAACCAGAAGTGGCGCTGTGGCTCAAGTGGTAGAGCACTAGCGAGCACTAGCCTTAAGCTGAAGAGCTTTAGGGACAGCGCCCAGACCCAGAGTTCAGGCCCCATGACTGCACCCCCCCAAAAAAAAAAGAAAAGAAAGAAAATAATCTTAATGGCAAATAATATCCTGTTTTTGTTGTTGTTTTTTGGTGCCAGACATAAGGCTTGAACTCAGGGCCTGGGTGCTGTTCCCTGAGCTTTTTTGCTCAAGGTTAGCACTCTACCAACTTGAGCCATAGCTCTACTTCTAGTTTTTTGATGCATAACCAGAGATAATAATCTCATGGATTTTCCTGCTTGGGCAGGTTTTGAAACATAATCCTCAGATTTTAGCTTCCTGAGTAGCTAGGATTATAGGCATGAGCCATCAGTGCTGGCTGCAAATAATATCTTGGATTTTTTTTTTTAAAACAAAGACTAGGTTTTAGTAGGATAAATGATTTATCTAAGTCAACTTGTGACCCGGACTAATCCCTGATACTGACAAAACACCAAATTCTATCTCTGCAACCTCTATTTTACTGCACTAGAGCATGAGACTTAGGAAATGAGACCAGAATAATACTTGAAAATTGCAGTGAAAAGCAATACAATAATAGGGATTGCAGTAACAGTCAGATCTAAAAGGGTTTCCTAAGTTTCTACTGACCCCGATGTTAACTGGGGTAGGAAAGTCCATGAAACACTTATCTCCAATTATCCAGCAAAAAGCTGAAGTGGAGCAGTGGCTCAAGTGGCAGAGAGCTAGCTTTGAGCAAAAAAAACACAGGGACAGGGCCCAGGACCTGAGTTTAAGCCCAAGCACTAGCATGTACATGCAGGCACACACATGTATGCATGTACACACACCCCAATTTCTTTTTTTTTTGGGTCCGGTCGTGGGCCCTGAACTCTGGGCCTGGACGCTGTCCCTCAGCTCTTCAGCTCAAAGCTAGCGCTCTACCACTTGAGCCACAGTACCACTTCCAGATTTTTTCTTTTTGCTTATGTGGTGCTGAGGAATCGAACCCAGGGCCTCAGGCATGCAAGGCAAGCGCTTTACCATTGAGCCACATTCCCAGCCCCTCATGACCCAATTTCTATATTCTACTAGATCAGCATTTAATACTATTTATTGTATGCTGCTCCTGGGGCTTGAACTCTGGGCCTGCACTGTCCCTGAGCTTTTGTACTCAAGGGTAGTGTTCTACCACCATAGCCACATTTCTACTTCTAGTATTTTGGTGTTTAATTGGTCATAAGAGTCTCATGGACTTTCCTGCCTAGGCTGGCTTCAAATCATGGTCTTCAGAGCTCTGCATCCTGAGTAGCTAGCATTACAGGTGTGAGCCACAGGTACCCAGATGATTACTATATTTTATGGCTAGTGACATTTAGTTTTCAGTGTACCAACTCTAGATCTTACATGAGTAGCCCCACTTAATTTCCTACAGCTACTAAAAAAATCCACCTATTCCTACATCAGAGAATAAAGCAAATATCTTACCATTTGAAATACATCAGAACCTTCATCAAAATCCACCATGGCAAAAAATATCCTGTTGGTAAATGCATTGGAGTATCGCCAAGAGTTTGCCAGGATCTGGAATTCTTCATCAGCTTGCCTAAATGCAATTAAATTTGTGAAGAAAACATAACCAACTTTTCAAGTCAATCCTGTTAAGTCAGGGGTGGGTGGCTAGAACCTGTAATCCTAGCTCCTCAGAAGGCTGAGATCTAAGGATCACATTCAAAGCCAGCCCCGGCAGGAAAGTCTGAGAGATTCTTATCTCCAATAAACTATCAGAAAACAGGAAGTGGCGCTGTGGCTCACGTGGTAGAATGCTAGCCTTGACCTGAAGAGCTGAAGGACAGCACTCAGGCCCAGAGTTCAAGCCCCATGACTGGGGGAAAAAAAAAGAAAAGAAAAAGTTAAATACTTTGACTATACTCCTATCTCCAGTGAAAAAAACATTTAAGAAAAACTTAACAAAGCTGGGCACCGGTGGCTCACGCCTGTAATCCTAGCTACTGAGGAGGCTGAAATCTGAAGATCACGGTTCAAAGCCAGGTTCAAAGCCAGCCCAGGCAGGAAAGTCCTTGAAACTCTTTTTTTTTGTCGGTCGTGGGGCTTGAACTCTGGGCCTGGGCGCTGTCCCTCAGCTCTTCAGCTCAAGGCGAGCGCTCTACCACTTGAGCTACAGCGCCACTTCCGGTTTTCTGGTGGTTTATTGGAGATAGGAGTCTCACGGTCTCTCCTGCCCGGGCTGGCTTTGAACCGCGATCCTCAGATCTCAGCCTCCTGAGTAGCTAGGATTACAGGCGTGAGCCACCAGTGCCCGGCTCCTGAAACTCTTATTTCCAATAAACCACCAGAAAAACGGAAGTGGCGCTGTAGCTCAAGTGGTAGAGCGCTCGCCTTGAGCTGAAGAGTTGAGGGACAACGTTCAGGCCGAGTTCAAGCCCCACGACTGACCAAAAAGAAAAGAAAAGAAAAGAAAAATTTAACAAAGCTTGGAGTAGCATAATATCTATCTGAAACAAGGTCACCTGTTCTTGTTCCTTCTCATGATTCAGGCTGTTAGGATTTGTACAGCCTCCATTTTTTTTGTTGTTTTTTGACAGTCTTGAGGCTTAAATTCAGGGCCTGAGCACTGTCCCTCAGCTCTTCAGCTCAAGGCTAGCGCTCTACCATTTGAGCTACAGCGCCACTTCTGGCTTTTTCTGCTTATATGGTGCTGAGGAATTGAACCCAGGGCCTCATGCATGAGAGGGAAGCACTCTACTACTGAGCCACCTTCCCAGCCCAGCAATCAATTCTTAAGATCACTCAGAGAAAGTAAAATAAAATCAGTCAGCCATTCTTTGGTGAAAGCTTAAGTGAGATTAATATTCATCTCCAAGGTTTACAATTATTCCAAAGTAATATAAAGCAAAGAAACATCTCTCAATGATATGTCTTTGGCTTTAAAGTAAATTATTATCTTATGTTTTGTTTTATCTGTTTCCTTTATTTTTTTTAATTTATTTTTTGGTGCCGGTCCTGAGGTTTGAACTCAGGTTCTGGGCGCTGTCCCTGAGCTTTTGTGCTCAAGGTTGGCATTCTATGACTTGAACCAAAGCTCCACTTCCAGCTGTTTTGGTGCTTAATCAGAGATAAGACTCTCTAGAGATGGTGCAGCTCATGCCTACAATTTTAGTTACTAAACAGGCTGATCTGAGGATCTCAGTTCAAAGCCAGCCCCAGGAGCATCTGTGAGACTCTAAGCCACTTTCCAGAGACTCTAAGCCACTTTCCAGCCCTACATTAGTATTATTATTATTTTTCTCTTCCTCCTCCTCCTCTTTTTTTTTTTTTTTGGTCCAGTCGTGGGCCTGAACTCTGGGCCTGGACGCTGTCCCTCAGCTCTTCAGCTCAAGGCTAGCGCTCTACCACTTGAGCCACAGCGCCACTTCCGGCTTTTTTCTTTTTGCTTATGTGGTGCTGAGGAATGGAACTCAGGGCCTCAGGCATGCAAGGCAAGCGCTCTGCCACTGAGCCACCTTCCCAGCCCCTCCTCCTCCTCTTTTTTTTTTGTGGGTTGTGGGGCTTGAACTCTGGGCCTGGGGCCTGTCCCTCAGCTCTTTAGCTCAAGGCTAGTGCTCTACCACTTGAGCCACAGCGTCACTTCTTCCAGTTTTCTGAATGGTTTATTGGAGATAAGAGTCTCAAGGGACTTTTCCTGCCTGGGCTGGCTTTGAACCCTGATCCTCAGATCTCAGCCCCCTGTGTAGCTAGGATTACAGGCACGAGTCACCAGCGCTCCTGGCCCTACATTTCTTCTTGAACATTGTTACCCCCTCCCTCATTCTCTCCCACTTTTCTTCCCCACTCCCTACCTTTTAAAAGTATAATTTTAACAGTATCTAGATTGAATCCTCAATGTTCTCTTTTTCCTTTTTCTTTACATACTGGGACTTGAACTCGGGGTTTAGGTGCTGTCTCAGCTTTTTTGCTCAGGGCCACTTGAGTCATACCTCAAATTTTGGCTTTCTGGTTGTTAATTAGAGAGAAGAGTCTCATGGATTTTCCTGTTCAGGCTGGCTTTGAGCCATGATCCTCAGATCTGACTCCTGAATAGTTAGGATTACAGGGGTCACTTTTTTTTTTTTTTTTTGGTCATGGGGTCTGAACTCTGGGCCTGGGCGCTGTCCCTCAGTTCTTCAAGGCAAGCGCTCTACCATTAGAGCTACAGCACCACTTCCAGCTTTTTCTTCTTATGTGGTACCGAGGAATCGAACCCAGGGCCTCATGCATGCAAGGCAAGCACTCTACCACTGAGCCACCTTCCCAGCCCTGCCAGCACCTGTTTTTGTATTTGTGTGTGAGTTAAGGACTTCCTTCTTGCCAAACAGGTGCTCCCCCAAGCTTTTTGGCTTTCAAACTTAGAGTTTTATGCATGGTAGATAGGCATTCTACTGAGTTCCATTCCCAGTGAAAATTATTTTTGATTAATAACTCTATGTTTATATAAATATTTATAGACATAAGTATACCTTTATACATATTTATGATGTTTTGGGATATGTATATACATTGTAAAATGATTGATTTAAACTAATGCATTACCTCTCCATACTGTTTTGTGGTAAAGCATGTAAAATCTATTCTTAGTAAAATCAAAATGCGTGTTATTATCAACTATGCCCTTACAGTATATAATAGATCACTAAATTTCATTCATCTTATCTACACGAATCCATATACCTTTTGGTCAACATCTCCCCTTTCTCCACCTCTATCTCCAATTTGCTTTGTCTACTTTTTGGAATTGTAATAACACAGTAATATAATGTTGAAAGTACTTACAAATAATAAAGCACTATACCAACAGCATTGGCTCACTACATATAAGTTGGCACTGACTTAAGATAATTCTTTGTTTTTTTTAAGTAATTCGTATGATGGTGATATTTTTCATGCCCCCCAAGAATTGGTAACAGAACAGCTGGAGAAGTGTGGTGCTATAAACCTTCTAATTAAGGTATCCACATTAATTATTTATGTGCGCACTGCACTAAGTTGGTTCTCCTGGGACTGAAAAAAATGGTTAAAATGTTGTAGGGTATTGAATTTTAAAGCAGAGCAGCAAGAACATACTTGCAAACGACACACTGTCTATGGAGTTGTAGAGCGGTGAACATGACAATAACAGAGTAGTTTCTTGGGGGGGCTTTAACAAGACGGCGGAACTTGTCTCCATTCATTCGGATTACAGGTCTCTTATTGGTCCATTCCATCAGCTGACTAACCTTTTCAGATAACACCATCTAAAAAAAGACAAAGTAAGAACGTTAACATAGCCAGGCTCTGGTGGCTGACACCTGTAATCCTAGCTACTCGGAAGGCTGAGGTCTGAGGATCGTAGTTCAAGGTCAGCCCTGGGCAGGAAAGTCCATGAGACTTTTTTTTTTTTTGGGTCCGGTCGTGGGGCCTGAACTCTGGGCCTGAGCGCTGTCCCTCAGCTCTTCAGCTCAAGGCTAGCGCTCTACCACTTGAGCCACAGTGCCACGTCTGGCTTTTTTTCTTTTTGCTTATGTGGTGCTGAGGAATCAAACTCAGGGCCTCATGCATGCAAGGCAAGCGCTCTACCACTGAGCCACCTTCCCAGCCTGCCCTGAGACTTTTATCTTCAATTAAGCACCAGGAAACTGGAAGTGGTGCTGTGGCTCAAGTGGTAGAGTGCTAGCCTTGAGTTCAGGCCCAGAGTTCAAGCCCCACAACCAGCAAAAAAAAAAGAATGTTAATATACTCAATTTGGCATTTAAAGTTAAAACTAGGCACAGTAGACCATGCCTGTAATCCCAGCACTCATGTGGAGGAAGAAGGATCACGAATTCGAGGTTGACTTGTCTACATAGCAAGACCCTGTTTCCAAAAAAAGTAAAAAAAAAAAACAAAAAAAAAACAAAATAAGAAGTTAGGGCTGGGTGGGTGGGTGGGTGGGTGGCTCAGTGGTAGAGTGCTTGCCTTGCATGCATGAGGCCCTGGGTTCGATTCCTCAGCACCACATAAGCAGAAAAAGGCGGAAGAGGCTCTGTGGCTCATGTGGTAGAGCATTAGCCTTGAGCTGAAGAGCTGAGGGACAGCACCCAAGAGTTCAGGCCCACGACTGACCAAAAAACAAAACAAAACAACAAAAAAAAAACCCACCAGAAAACCAGAAATGTCTCTGTGACTAAAAGTGGTAGAGTACTAGTCTTGAGCAGAAAAAGCTCAGAGACAGTGCCCTGTCCGAGTTCAAGCCCCATGCCCCCCGCCAAAAAAAAGGCAGTTGGGACTGATAATCCACCCCACTTAATTTCTTTTGTGAGATGGGGGTCTAGCTATGCAGCCCAGAGTGGCCTCAATTTGTGATCTCCTGCCTTAGCCTCCCAAGTGCTGGAATTCCCAGCATGTGCCACCACATCCATTTTGTGTGTGTGTGTGTGTGCATGTGTACATGTGTGTGTGTGTAGAAGCTAATAATAGTGGTGCCTGAAATCAGGGCCTCCCATTATAGTTTGTTTTCTTTTTTACTCAAGGCTGGCACTCTACCACTTGAGCCACACGTCCACTTCTGTTCTTTTTGCTAGTTAGCGGAGGATAAGAGTCTCATGGGCTTTTCTTGTCCAGCTGGCTATGACCCTTGATCCTCAGATCTCAGCCTCCTGAGTAGCTAGGATTACAGGTTTGAGCCGCCAGCACCCAACGGAATTTTTTTTGCCAGTCCTGGGGCTTGAACTCAGGGCCTGGGCTCTATCCCTGAGCCTCTCTGTGTTCAAGGCTAGAGGTCTAACACTTGAGCCACAGCGCCACTTCCAGCTTTTTCTGTAGATATGGTACTGAGGAATCGAACCCAGGGCTTCATGCATGCTAGGAAAGCATTCTACCACTAAGGCACACTGCCAGCCCAGAAAAAATATTTTTAAACTATATTAAAAATGATTAATAGCTTACATGTTATGTACATATATACATATACAGACATGTATTAGTGGTACCCAGGTTTGAACTCAGAGCCTTTGAATTCAGAGTAGTTCTTGCTAGTCTGGTGCTCTGCCACTTGAGCCTTGCCTCCAGACTAGGTGTATACACATTCACATATACAGACATTTTTTGTGCCAGTACTGAAGGTTGAACTCAGGTCCTCTTGCTTTCACTTAGCTTTTTCTGCTCAAGGCTGGGTGGTCTACCACTTAAGCCAAAACTCCATTTCTGGCTTTTTGGTACTTCACTGGACATAAGAGTCTCATGGATTTTTCCTTCCCCAGCTGGCTTTGAAATTGCAATCTCCAGATCTCAACCCCATGAGTAGCTAGTATTATGGTTGGGAGCCACGTATAACACTGGTCTCCATGACAATCTTATCTCCAATTAACCAATAAACAGCCAGAAGTGGTTCAAATAGTAGAGTACCACTAGCCCTTAGAGAAAAAGCTAAACAAGAGCAAGAGGCCCTGAGGTCAAGCTCCAATGCTGGCAAAGGTACACATACACAAAAAAATAACTCAAGCTAGACTTGAGCAAAAAAGCTCAGTTGACAGCAGCAACCAGGTGCAGCGTTCAAGTCCCAGAACTAGCTAGAAAAAATCAATTCAATACTTTAAAAAAATCACATAGCAGCCGGGTGCTGGTGGCTCACACCTGTAATCCTAGCTACTCAGGAGGCTGAGATCTGAGGATCACAGTTCAAAGCCAGCCTGGGCAGGAACATCCGCGAGACTCTTATCTCCAATAAACTACTAGAAAACCAGAAGTGGGGGCTAGGAAGGTGGCTCAGTGATAGAGCGCTTGCCTTGCATGCCTGAGGCCCTGGGTTCCATTCCTTAGCACCACATAAGCAAAAACAAAAAAGCCGGAAGTGGCACTGTGGCTCACGTGGTAAAGCGCTAGCCTTGAGCTGAAGAGCTGAGGGACAGCGCCCAAGCCCAGAGTTCAGGCCCCACGACCGGACCCAAAAAAAAAAAAAAAAAACAACCAGAAGTGGCACTGTGGCTCAAGCGGTAGAGTGCTCGCCTTGAGCTGAAGAGTGCAAGGATAGCGTCCAAGCCCAGAGTTCAAGCCCCAGGACTGAAAGAAAAAAAAAATCACATAGCTAAACTAGAAAATGAGTAAAAAACAAAACAAAACAAAAAAACGTATGAGGGCTGGGAAGGTGGCTCAGTGCTAGTGTGTTTGCCTTGCATGCAGGAGGTCCTGGGTTCAATTCCTCAGCACCACATAATGAAAAAAACAGAAGTGGTGCTGTGGCTCAAGTGGTAGAGCGCTCGGCTTGAGCTGAAGAGCTCAGGGGCAGTGCCCAGGCCCAGAGTTCAGGCCCCAGGACTAGCAAAAAAGAAAAAGATGGCAAACATAGACAAAGGAAGATGTTCAATAAGTTAGACCCTGGGTTCAATCCCTACCAGCATAAGAAAATGTTCAACATCATTAAGAACACAGTAAGAGGGGCTGGGAAGGTGGCTCAGTGGTAGAGCGCTTGCCTTGCATGCATGAGGCCCTGGGTTCAATTCCTCAGCACCACATAAGCAAAAAGAAAAAAGCCGGAAGTGGCGCTGTGGCCCAAGTGGTAGAGCGCTAGCCTTGAGCTGATGAGTTGAGGGACAGCACCCAGGCCCAGAGTTCAGGCCCCACAACCGGACCCAAAAAAAAAAAAGAACACAGTAAGAGCCAGGGTGCCAGTGACTCATACGCCTGTAATCCTAGCTATAAGGAGGCTAAGATTTGAGAATCATGGTTTGAAGCCATCTGAGGCAGAAAAGTCCATGAGACTCTTATTTCCAATTAACCACTAAAAGAGCCAGAAGTAGTGGCTCAAGAGGTAGAGTATTAACCTTATGAAAAACAATCCAGCCTGAGAATATGGCTCAGTGGTAGAGTGCTTACCTAGCATGTATGAAGCCCTGGGTTTGATTCCTCAGTACCACATATACAGGGACAGTGCCCAGGCCTTGAGTTCAAGCCCCAAGACTGGCAAAAAAAAAAATCTAATGAGATATCACTGCTAGGCTGGGGATGTGGCTCAAGTGGTGGAGCACTTGCCTTGTAAGCACAAAGGCCTGAGTTTGAACCTTAGCACCATAAAAATAAAAAAGCAAGGAGAAATAGCAACATATGTTTGTTAATAAAGTGAAACTAGAATGACCTTAAAGAGGATGTGGAGAAACTGGGTCTCTTTAAGGTTGCACAGTGTCTTAAAAACTAAGGAACTAGGGCTGGGAAGGTGACTCAGTGGTAGAGTGCTAGCTTTGACCTGAAGAGCTGAGGGACAGTGCCCAGGCCCAGAGTTCAGGCCCCACGACCAACAACAAAAAAATGTAAAAGGAACTAAACACACACTTCTCATCCAGACCATCCAATGAAGGGAGCAAGAGACTGATCAATGGGAAGATGGGCTAAGGGGGAAGTGCTGACCAAGACTGCCTCAGGAAGCTCTGGAGTCACCTAGGCCTAGCCCACAGTTTCCTTTAATGAAGTAATTTCTCTATTCAATTCCATGCTTTGCCACTTAAAATAAAACAGCCTCAAGAGACTGTCACTTCTGCTTCAGGTCAGACAATGTTGGTTTTTTTTTTTTTTGGGGGGGGGGGGTCCAGTCGTGGGGCCTGAACTCTGGGCCTGGGCACTGTCCCTCAGCTCTTCAGCTCAAGGCTAGCACTCTACCACTTGAGCCACAGCGCTACTTCCCGCTTTTTTCTTATGTAGTGCTGAGGAATCGAACCCAGGGCCTCAGGCATGCAAGGCAAGCGCTCTACCAATGAGCCACCTTCCCAGCCCCACAATGTTGGTTCTTAGCTTCGAAATACATATTCTATATTTTAAAGCCATTATTAACCAGAAAATGGTGGCTCACGTGTGTAACTAGCTACTCAGGAGGCTGAGGACTGAGGATTATAGCTCAAGGCCAGTCCAGGCAGGAAAGTCCAGGAGATTTGTTGTTGTTGTTGTTATTTTTGCTGGTCCTGGGGCTTGAACTCAGGGCCTGGGCACTGTCCCTGAGCCTCTTTATGCTCAAGGCTAGCACTCTCACTATGAGCTTTTCCAGCTTTTTCTGAGTAATTTATTGGAGATAAGAGTCTCACGACTTTTCTGCCTGGGCTGGCTTCAAACTGTGATGCTCAGATCTCAACCTCCTGAGCAGCTAAGATTATAGGTGTGAGCTACTGTCTCCCAGCTCCAAAAGACTCTTATCACCAATTAAACACAAAACTCTGGAAGTGGAGCTGTGGATCAAGTGGTAGAGTGTTAGCTTTGAGCAAAAGAAGCTCAGGGGCCAGTGTTCAGGCCAACA